CATACCCAAATGACCAGCTTCCCACTCAACCACCGTACACAGACACACACACAGACACACACACACACACACACGGTAATCTAGCGTTAAGTCTGTGATGGTCGACCAGGCGCAAGTGTCGATTGAACTATTTTTTTTGGGGGGGGGTGGGAAGGGGGGCGGCTGTTGAGTTGTTACTTTGGTAGTCTACAGTTGTTCAGTGTAGTTGGGTCTGGACAGCGTTGGTCTTGGTGCTCCTACAGCTGGTGTCGGCGAGGATACTGAAGGCATTTGTCCGGTTTTCCCAGTAGACTCGCAAGATGGACCAAACAATGTGCTGGTGAAAATTCTCAAGCACCTTGAGATATCGTCTGCATGTGACCCAGGTCTCGCCAGCCATACTGCAGAGTAGGAAAGTTTAACGCTTAATAGATGAGCAAGTTTATAGTTGAAGAAAGGGTCAGCAGTCTGCCAAAGGCCTGAGAAGCGTGACTGATCCGACGTTGGGTCTCCTCGTTGATGTTCGTGGTAGTGGACAGGTGGGTGCCAAGGTACTGAGAAGTGATTAACGCTGACGAGGACAGGTCCATTAACCTGATTAGACGGTGGGGGTGTGACTGAAGCAGGAGAGGGCTGAAACAGACCTTGCGTCTCACGTGCGGTACATTCACCTCGAGGCTGAGGTATATGTGTATGTGTTCAGGATTTGCCGTACAGTAGGTCTATTCAGTGTGAATGATAATGCTACGGTAGTCTGCATACTGAAGTTCAGTGATGCAGGCGGATAACAACTTTGTTCTTGGCTGGAGTCGTCTTAAGTTAAAAGTTCCTTCGTTTGGTATGTGTTGTCCACCTCTTCGGCGATGAGAGAGTAGAGTTTGGCTTTGATGAGTTGATGAATTATCTCACACTGATCTGAGTCACATCTTGGTGATCTCTTTCTCGGACAATAAAATAGTTTTAAAGAAATATCATTGTTTTGAACTTGGTGTTGCTAACTATCCCTGAGCTTGTCGGGCTGCCTCAATAAAGTAATAGTAATGGCGAGACTGTGTTCAGCTCCTGACTATGCATCAACCGTAATAACCTGTCAGTTTGGGGCACCTTTTCTAGCCCCTTTTTTCCATGTAGGGTGAGCACAGTGGCTACTGAATGGGGCTACTCAGGCTCAGAGACAGGACCAGGTTACCTGCTGCCAAAATCCCAATATATACAGCTGTAAATGGCACATTTATCTACGCTATACGGTTGTTTGAACGGGAACTCCTGAAAGTCATCTCCACCAATCTCCGTCACCACTGGTCCGTCACCGTGACACCGTGATGATAATGGTGAGGATGGTGGCTGTACGCGAAATGATTAACGTGGTGAGGAAGGTGGGCCAGGTGCAGCTACACATCTTGCCTCTCCTTGTTTCTGATCAGTGGTACAGGTAGCTGCAACACCTGGAGAGAAGGAGAGCTGCAATGGACTGCCGTCAACACTGTATGTTGAGGCCTACCTACAGTAACACGTCCATGGCGCACTGCCTCCACCCACCGATGTAGTCGTTTGGTTCCGTGTTTGTCACCCCTTCTGCTTGCCCTACCATTGGGGGTTTAATGGAGCTTTTACTGCTGCACAAACATGTGTTCCCAGGGCAATACACACACACACACACACACACATCTCTGTCTCTCTCGGTTTGTCGTACTGGGTGCGTGTAATATGCGTAGGGTAGGCGTGGTTGGCGTGATTTGATTTTGCCGCTTACAGCGGCTACTTCATTGTGCACCCCACACCCATCCTGTGAGCGGAAGCGCAAAAGGATTACAGAATAGAGTTTACAACGGGTCACAATAATTAACCCCCGTTGTCAGGATATTATGGCACTGAATGTTACACAGTATTTCAATTACATTATTTGTGTAGTTCTATACATAAAGGGTAACTTATTCATAACTGCGTGAGTACAGGCGTGTGAGGCAGTATGTCTGGCCGCACACTTTGTTATTCACATTTACGTGAGAAGTATTCAAGCACATTGTGTATTTGGTTCTGTACATGAGAACTGATATAGTTACTAAGAGCAAAAAGGTGGATACAATCTTAATATGTTGGCTATCTTGCCATTAGAGATGAAGTGTTGTGCCATTTCAGACACACTGTGCTTGGACCTGTCCCTAAAAGGTTCTATCTTCACACAGTCGAGGAAGTAGTGTTCAAGTGCGTGGCTCTATATCTGGCCACACACTTTACATTTGCGTGGTTGGTGTGGTTGGTGTGGTTACCCCGCTGCGCCTCCATAACCTCTTCTTTGTCTCTTGTTCCCTGACGGCTCTACTCACTCCTATGTGAATTCCTTTCTTTCCACTACCCCCGTACCCCCATCCCTTCAAACTGACAGCCACACCTCACCTCCCATCCCCTCCCCCATCCCTTCAAACTGACAGTCACACCTCCACCTCCCATCCCACCCCATCCTCCCCCATCCTTCAAACTGACAGTCACACCTCCCATCCCTCCCCATCCCTTCAAACTGACAGTCACACCTCCCATCCCTCCCCATCCCTTCAAACTGACAGCCACACCTCCATCCCATCCCCATCCTTCAAACTGACAGTCACACCTCCCATCCCCATCCTTCAAACT